CTGCTGAGAGACTGTTTGTCAAACTTGGCACATCCCAGGAGCCCAGGCTGCCAGCAAACTTTTCCTTTCCTGTTTTTTTGGCTGATGTGAACAGCAAAACATGGCATCTCTCTCCTCCCTTCCTATTCTGGAAATGGATGAGGTCTACAGCATAGCCTGTGTCCACCAAGTAGGGCCCTGAGAGTTCCCCTTTAGGAGACACCTGGCTGTGCATAGCTACTTATGACAGAGTATCTGGGTGCTGTCCTAAGGCTAAATGTCAGATGCTTTCATGTGTGTTTTTCTAATTGACATGCAAAATACTATGAAAACAGAACTGTATTTCATCATATTATTCTGAATTTGATTACAAAATAGTCTTTTAACAGCAGCAGAAGGTTTTTGTAAGCAAGATGGTTTTACCTGTCTTTTATAGGCTGCTTTTGCAGGGACTTTGCTCTCCTAACCTGAATCACTTGTACCATTGTGTTTTGCTTGTCAGCCTCTAGAGTTGCCCAAGTTAACCCAGAGGTACCAGTGGGGCACTACCTAAGTGGAGTATCCAGCCATCCTTTTGAGCAGGGAGGTCAGCTTAATTGGTGATGGGTCCCAGTCACTTGCCACTTGGTCTCTACAAGCCATTGTTTTTGCTAGTGATGGTACAAGTCTGGTTGTACTCTGGATGTTTTCACTTTCTGGCTGAAATGATGCCCCTGTAATGCAATTCTGAGCTTCATGTGTGAAGTTGCCATCTCTGCTTTCCCAGTTCTGGTTTCAATAGGCACTGAAAAAGACGACCCAAGTGACTGTTGCATATCCGTTGCACTAGATCCTGTTCAGTTTGTGGTACTTCTATAGTCTTTCTTGGATGTGTGTAAACATGTGTCTACCTGTGCATAAAGGTGGGTTTCTTTTTGCTTGAGGCTCTTCCTAAACTGCAGTGTTTGGGTCTGCTTCTTCCTGGTTTTCGAGTTTTGGTCTTCAAAGGACCTGGGACTCACCCAGAACCCCTTGAGCAGGGTGGCATTTGCCTGTCCATGTAAGGAATGTGTGACTTGTAACACAGTCTAGGTATCTAGGTATCAATCCACCATGTCTTCTCCTCTGTCTTCTGCCCTCCTCCCAGGCTAGGCTAACTGTGAACTAACGAGGCACCTCTCCCCACAGGGAATGCCAGAGCAATGGGCACGTTTGCTGCAGACTTCCAACATCACCAAGTCGGAGCAGAAGAAGAACCCCCAGGCGGTGCTGGATGTGTTGGAGTTTTACAACTCCAAGAAGATCTCCAACAGCCAGAAGTACATGAGTTTCACTGGTATGTGGAGATTGTCTGGTACAGCTGCTTTGTCCAGCCTTCCAGTAGTCACTGCACATGGTATTTCTTTCATTTAATCAACAAGGAGATCTGTCTATCCAAGGAAGATGTGAATGAGATTCTCTGTCTGCTCAAGAGCCCCTCTTCTTTTAGACTGCTGTTCTGTTAATCCTGATGTCCAGCAGAGCTCCAAAAGAGGGGGTCAGGTCAACTGGCTAAATCCCCAAAACACATAGGTTTTCTGAAGCTTACAGCCAGCAGGAAATAGTGGCCATGGGAAATTCCGCCCTCTTGCAGCAGGGACTTGGAGCCCCTGTGTTTTTTCTGCAGAATTTTTTACCAACATATCTGCTTGGTGTCAGCTTGTTCTGGGGAGCTGGAAGTAATGTCTGGGTTTGGGAGCAGCCCTTTTTCTTCCCCCTTCCAAAGGAAGCTCATCCCTTTCTCCTCTCCCCACTGCTGCTGCATTCACAACTTGGTTTTTATGGCCTTACTCTGTGTCTCTTTCAGATAAATCAACGGAGGATTACAACTCATCAAATACATTGGTAAGACTTATATTTTCATTCAGTCTCAAGTTTGGGGGTTTAAAAACTTGCATAAAGTTAGCTACATGAAAATTTCTAGTTTGCTTAATGTTTTAAAATCTGAACGATATATATTTGTATAGTGAATATAGTGTTTATAAAAATAGGCCAATTATCCTAAAAAGGCATACTGCTTTTTTTTTTTTTCTTTTTTTCAGCTGGGGGAGATTCAAGTAGATGGAAGAAACTTTTATTACAGATCTGTTTTCATAGAAGTTGTTCTGTTCCTGTACCTAGATTTTGATAACTTCACTGCTTTCAGGTTTTATATGTCTCTATAAACATCTGTGATCCAACAAAGTTTAATTACTAACCTGCAAGGTCTGATTGACCACAGCTAATGGAGATTAGTGTTGATTAACCAAACTAATCTCCAACAGAGGAGGAAGTAAAGGGTTCTCCTCTCTGCTTGACCTTTACTCTGTCCTTACCAGGGCAGGCACCACTCCCATTTGCTTTGCTAGGGGACACTCTGTGGTTCTGTACCTGTGAATGAGATGGAAGAAACAACTTTCAATTTCAGATGACTCATAAACTCCACAATTCCCTCATCTCTTGTTGTCTCACTGGCATGCCACTCTAGAGGTGGCTTGTTCAGAGCCATATTCAGATCTGACCATCTAGGACTGTCTATGAAAAGGAGGATGTTTCTGCTGTTTGCATGATTACATATCATTGTATGGCAGTCCTCGGGAGTTTAGAATATCTGAGGCTGTTGGATTTTAAAGTAAATCCTGAAAGAAAATCCGATAGTTACAAGACTACTGAGAGAGCCTGATGGTTTTGGAATACACTGAGTAACCTTTAATTTGGGGGATATTCAGGAAATTCCTACTACATGGCTGTTTTTTCCTGTTGCTTTTAACAGGCTGAGCTTTTATGTTATGTCAAGCACACTTTAGCAATTATATTTCAGGATATTGGTTACTTCAAGTAGTTTAGGTTCCATCAAATACTGCCTTATTTGCCCCCACGTTCAGAGAGAACTCTATTTTAATACTTTTTCCCCTGCCACTCATAGAGAACGGATGATTCACAAGCAGAACCGGTCTAGTGGGTTGTGGAACTCACCAAGTTTATTTTGAAATGTTTAAAGGATGCCACGGACTTCAAATCCAGTTTCAAATTTAAAAGTGACTTTGATTTCTAATCACAGCATTGCAAAAAATTCCAGATCATTTTTTTAACCACTTAAGAAACATTTTTTTAAAAAAAAATTGTTGTTCCTATTTTTCATAAAGCTTTATTTTTTACTCGTTGTGTAACCATATGCAGAATGTGAAGGCTGTCTCTGAGACCCCTGCAGTACCCTCAGTATCTGAAGATGAAGATGATGAAGATGATGCAGCTCCACCCCCTGTGATAGCTCCTCGACCTGAACACACAAAATCTGTGAGCAGAAATACTTCCTTCAGCCCCTGCCCCTGCAGTGACTGTTGGGTCTTGACTGTGGCTCCTCCTCCATGCATGGTGTTGAGCCTTTCTTGGGAGTAGGAGGGCGGAGGTTGGGGCTGTTCTTTCTGGCAGAGCACCTTCAGATTATCACCTGCCTAATTTGGGGGTGGACAAGAGAGTCCTTGCTTAGTGATGTTAGCTGTTAATAAACTAGCTATAGAAATGCATCCCTAACAAGAACAACGACTAGATGAGTAGAAGGGTTTATATCTTCATCTGATTTGTGCTAATATGTATGTTTTTCTTAACAAAATTAGATATACACTCGCTCTGTGATAGACCCCCTTCCTCCTCCTACCAGAGACGTGGCCACCTCTCCTATTTCTTCTCCCGCGGAAAACAGCACCATGGCGTCTGACATGCTGGTCAGGAACACAGAGAAACAAAAGAAAAAGCCAAAAATGTCAGATGAAGAGATCTTGGAAAAATTAAGTACGTCCTTTTACAAAAAAATTAACTTCCAGGTCCTGCTCTGTTTGTTTCTGAAAAACCTTAATCGGCTGAAATGTTTTGACATTCCCATTTTGAGATCCCTTACTGAAGACGTTGCATTGAGACTCTGTGCCAAAATTGGGGGCAGATGTAAGGAGGGAGCATAGATGTAAGCTGAGCACCTGTCATGCCAACTGAAGTCCCTGGGGAGTTACAGATCCTCAGGCTCTGCAAAGCAAGCCCTGAGTAACTAAAATCTACTTAACCATAACGTCTGAGATTGGTCCACATCTTGATATTCTGTAGCTCTGGAGCGTGGATGATTATATTGGAACGTTAGACAGAAGGTCTAAAAGATGCAGGGAAAATTAATGCACCCCCAAGTTCACTTTCCACAGTACCATGGTGTAAAGTGACTTGGTTATTTTTAAGTTCCTTAATGTTGTGTGAATACCCAAATTAAGGGTTGTTTTGAGGAAAAATCATTGTGTCTCTCTGTGTCCTAGTGTCTTTAACAGTCCTTGCCTTCAGTTCAAGTGCTCCTCTGCTGCCTGGTATTTTGGGTTATGCTGTGGCATAGCCAACAGCTGAACCACCTCTTCTGTGCAACTGATTGCTGTCCTCAGCCTAGGCTAGATTTTATTAAGGTAGAGCATTTAAAATTCTTTGAACTCCTAATCCTGTATTAATTACATCCCTGCCTGGCTTGTCAGTTGATGTAAATTGTGTTAGCACCTCTATGGCCAGGCTGGTCTCCTCAGCTGAGGGTATACCCCTAAAGATCATAGTTGTATGAAGCAAAGACTAGTAGCTACATGGAAAAAAATTTAATCTGAGAGTATAACTTTAAAAAAAAAAAAAAATTAAAATGGCAGAGACTGTGGCAGGAAAAAAAGTACTATTTTAATACAAATACACTCCTGTAACAAAGGGAACTGCAAGTGATACTCTTAGGAGTGGAAGGCAGTTGTACGTTTGGACACCTTGCTTGTTCCAGCAAGTGGTGCTGAGTGCAGGACTGGTTCTTCAGCACCAAGGAGTTTCCTAATAAATATACAGTGCAGCTCAGTGGCCACTGTTGGGTGTCAGCTTCTAGATGTGGGCTAGTCAAAAATCTGCAATGAAGTTCTTATCCTGTTGTAAACTGAGGTTTTTCCACTGAGAGCAGTGGAGTTGTAGTTGTGCAAAGACGTGACCTTTTCATGGTTTGGTTTGACATGTGAATAAAATGACTAAACCCTTAAAGCATGTGTATTTACATGTACTGAAGGTGTGCAGAGGTTAAAAGGAAGCTGATAAACCTCTGTCTCTTAGCATTAACACAAAATTAATGCAAACATTAATGAACCCAAATGATTTTTTAGGGGAGGTAGAAAGCATTACCCCATTTTGCAGATGAAAGCATTAGAGAGGGCAAGGTTGGCAACTGCCTCTTGTGACTTCAGGGCTGTTCTGTCACTGCCACAGGGAAATATTTGCCTGTCTGGCAGCCTAAACTTATGTTAGGCTTTGAGGGAAATTTTGCAAACATTTGTTCAGAAATGCTTGTCCCCAGGGCAGCCAGCCCTGCTTCTGTCATTGTACAGTGGGGGTTATAGAGTCAGATTTCTCTTCCCACCCTCCTCTCCAAACATGGACCATATTCCCTGCCTTTACCTCCATCTGCCCTAAACCCTGGGGGTTTGGCTGCTTTCCAATGGTGTCTGAAAATAGCTTGCTCTTACTCTGCTTGCTACTGGATTTCTTGGCCTGATGACCACGAGCAGTTTCTTTGCCAACATACATCTATTCAAGCTCAGCCCTAGACCCCTGTGAAAGCAGCACCATATGTTGGCAGCTTGAGTGACTTGCAAGCACCAGCTCAGACACAGGTCTGAATCCCTTGATCCTATTTGCCACCATGGTGCAGTAAGAGAGGAGACTTGCTCCTAGCTGAGCTCTAGGAATCATTTGCTCTGATTTCTCCAGCCTAAAAAGGGTGTGATTCCTGCCTTCTGTAGTAGTTAGGACTATCAGTTAACATTTGCAGGGGGTGTTGAGTTTCAGTGATGCTCCTTGTCACTTTCTCCACTTTGTCACTTTCTCCAGTTTGTCCCTTGGCAACCTGCCATGCAGTCTGCAGGACCCCAGCGCCTCTGCAGCCTGCCCACCACCTGCCCTTGTGCTGTGAGCTCCCTCCCCTCCTACAGAAAATGTTGTGTTCCTCCTGGATAGCAAATCCACCTTGAGCCTGAGCAGCCCCTCGCCACCCTCTGATTGCAGAGCACCAGGCAAAAGTGCTTTTCCTTCTAAGAGAGACTTAAATAGACTTTCTTCTGGCTGAGCCACCACATTAGGGGAGAATCACAGAATTAAGACCTCCAAGATCATCAAGTCCAACCATCAACCCAACACTACCATGACCATCAAACCACATCCCCAAGTGCCACATTTACATGTTTTTTGAACCCCTCCAGGGATGGTGACTCCACTACCTCCCTGGGAAGTCTGTTCCAGTGCTTCACCACTCTTCCAGTAAAGAAATTCTTCCTAACATCCAGCTGAAACCTCCCCTGGTGCAACTGAAGCACGTAAGCTGAATGAGCTGAGATTGTCTTGGGTTGCTCTTCAAAACCAGAGCAATGCTGCATGGTAACAGCTGCTAAAACCTGCACTTACTGTTGGGTTCCTTGAACAGCAGCTGAGGAATGGCCAGGCCAGGGGACATTTGGCTATGAAGGGTCTCTCCAGCTTCCCCATTTGAGTCTTGCAACCCAGTCATTGGCTGAATAGTGGCTATTGTACTGTATTTACAGAAACACTGTAAATACTTTTGTTCTGCCAGAAATTGTCATGGTGTAGAGAAGTCTTTGGCTAGAGTTGCAACAGGCTGTTGGTTCTAAGATGAATGAGGCCCCAGCCTCTGAATTCAGAGGACGTTGCAGTGCAGGAGCATCTTAGATCATCTGCTTTGATGAAGCTGAGGGTAACTAAGTTGCAGGTTCATAGAATCATGGAATGTTTTTGGTTGGAAGGGACCTTTCAAGGTCACCTAGATCAACCCCCTTGCAGGGAGCAGGGACATCTGCAACTAGAGCAGGTTGCTCAGAGCCCTGTCCAGTGTGACCTAGGACATTTCCTTGAATGTGCCGGTGTTTCACCCATCTCATTGTAAAAAATGTCTTCCTTCCATCTAGTCTGTATCTCCCTCTTTTAGTTTAAAACTATCCCCCCTTGTCCTGTCACAACAGGCCCTGCTAAAAAAATTGTCCCCAGCTTTCTTTTAGGCCCTCTCTAAGTTCTGAAAGGTCACAAGAAGGTCTTGCCAGAGCCTTCTCCTCTGCAGGCTGCCCAAGCCCAGCTCTCTCCTGCTGGGCTCCCAGCAGAGGGGTTCCCCCCTCGGGTCATTGCTGGGGCTCCTCTGGCCCCGCTCCAGCAGGTCCTTGTCTCTGCTGTGCTGAGGTTTCCAGCAAATAATTTTATTAAAATAAGTGAGGGCCACATCTCCCCATCCCACGCGTGGCAATGTGCAGTCACCAGCTACTAGGGAAGGTTAAATGTGCTTCGTGTCAGAGTTCCACCATTTCTGAGGGAAATACTTGTGAGAGGGGAATGACATAGCTGGTATGTATGTAAATAACTGAGGACATCTTGGTGTTCATGCACCTCTGGATTTCTATCACATGCTTCACAAGGCTTGGCAGAGCCCACTGTGGTCATGGGGCTGATCTTTGGATCTTGCTATATGAAAAAATACTTATAAAATCCTCTTGTTGTTTTTTTGTAGGAAGTATTGTGAGTGTGGGTGATCCAAAAAAGAAGTACACGTGTTTTGAGAAGATTGGACAAGGGTTAGTAAACACTCCTCCTCTGTCCTGTACCTTTCCTTATGCTATGAAGTGACCACTGAAAGCAGGCTAAGTTAGTTCACTGGAAAAGCAGTTGGTGACACTTTTGAGAGTTTATTTTGTTTGGTTGATTTTTTTTTTCCTTTTTTTTTTTCTTTTTTTTTTTTTTTTTTAAGATTTTGGTTGCTTTGGTGGTTTACACACCCCCTCCCCCCTGCAGCTCTTCTCTCTTTCCTGGAAGAGTCTTGAGTTGCAGGAACAGGGGTGTGATTGTGTTTTAATATGAAAAAATATGTCTTTAGATGATCAGGTTGCTAAATATAGCTGCAATCAGGAGAGAAACTGCTTATTTTCAGCCTGCAAGACAATCTTCAAATTACAGACTTGCTTTCTGAATCAGCTCTGCTCTCCTCGACGTGGATGTTGTGCCCCTCTTGGAGAGTCAGGGTGGGGAGAGAGGCTGTAGTGAGGCAGATTGGTGCAAATCACTGAGATCTGCTGTTCAGCTTCATGTGCTGAGGCTCAAGCTCCCATTTCCCTCATTTCCCTCACTACAAATGCCACATGTGGCTGCTTCAGCTCCTCCTGTCTGCTCTGTAGTCACGCTGGGGCAGTGCAGCCATGCCAGTTTAAATGAGATCAGCTCACAGTCCTACAAGCTGTGCTGAGTTGCTAGTTTAGCAGCAAGGGTTTGGATGACCATACTGTCCCTTATTAGGAGCTTTGTTCCCCATAAATTCCCTGGCTTCTGCTCCAACAGCAGTCTTCGTTCAGAAATACTTCAGATTATATTTACCACTGGAATTATTGCATGAAAGGAATGGGACTGAGAGCACTTCAAAGAAACAAGTGGGAAGGGGCATGTGTTAAGCTTTCAGTTTTTCTATGAGGCACTAATAAGTGGATTTTTTTCTTTTCTGTGTTTTATTTAGAGCCTCAGGTACAGTTTACACAGCAATGGATGTAGCTACAGGACAGGAGGTAGGTGCTACCAGAATACCACAGCAGTGGATTTTGGATTGTATCCTAAAAGTTCAAGTTGATGCTACAGAATAAAGACAGTCTTTCAAGGGTTCATGACATGTTCTGAGTTATTTATTTCCTTACTAATGAGGCATGGTCAAGTGGTTTGAGCAGAGAGCTGGAAAAAATTATTTCCCGAGTTTCAATTCCTGAATCATTTCATATTTGTAAAGAATCTTTTTGTGACCACAAAGGCTAGAAGCAAATGTTCAGACTGTGTAGTTCCTCAGTAGAAGTTTATCTTTTCATCCCCCAAACTCCTGCATGTCCCCATTTAAACTGTTTTATATGCACTCTGCTCCTTTGCTTCCTACACTTGCAGTAGTTGACTTGCATAGAAATAGTTCTCCCACCCTTTCCCCGCTTACTTTCTGCCCTTGAACTGAGAGACAAAGAATGTCTGTCTGTTTTTTTTCCCCCTCCCAAATACTGAAAAGTGCCCTGTGTATTGCATGTGTGCATAATAAACTACTAGTGATGGATATGCAGCATCTGTAGAAACCATTATTGCTAGATGGAGGATTTTAAAAGAGGCAAGGTATGCAATATTCCAAATATATTTATGGAATTTTGCAGCAGTGTGTGTCTACTTTGAATTTGTACAAGGTCATGGTTATCCACCAGTGAATTTCCTAATTGTGCTTCTTGCTAAAACTCCTTCATCTCCTTTTCCAGTTCCTGAGTCATAGAATCCTAGAATGGTTTGGGTTGGAAGGGACCTCAAAGATCATCTAGCTCCAACCCCCCTGCCTTGGGCAGGGACACTTCTCACTAACCCACGTTGCTCAAAGCCCCATCCAACCTGGTCATGAACACTTCCAGAGATGGAGCATCCACAGCTTTCCTGGGCAGCCTCTGCCAGTGTCTCACCACCCTCACTGTAAAGCATTTCTTCCTATATGGACTGACTGCAGGAACTCAGAGTTACTAAATGGCTGGGCAACCTGTGATGACAAAGTGTTTTCCCACTTTATGTGAATATGGGACTAAAACAGTCAACACTGGTACTGGCAGTTTTCCAGGGGTCTCCTGTAATAATGCTTTGCTTGGTCTTTCTTCACTGTAGGTTGCCATCAAACAGATGAATTTGCAGCAGCAGCCCAAAAAAGAACTGATTATTAATGAAATCCTTGTGATGAGGGAAAACAAAAACCCCAATATTGTCAACTACTTGGACAGGTATGTCATGATTTGAAGAGTTCATAGTGTCACTGTCTGAACTGATCTTGTTGCAGTTTGATGTGGGTGTAGGACAATCTTGCATAGCTTAATGCATGTCTCAGTGTCAGGGTGTGGGTAAGTTGGTGGTTTCTCTCCATATCCTAGGAGACATGTGTCTGAGTTGGTATTTGTGGAGCACCTAGGCTCTCTTTATAGATGCTGGCAGCACAGGCACTAGCAGGATCCTGCCAGGACTCTATTTTTCATCCCTCTCCTTTGCCACGTTTGACACAAAAAAACATTTCCTTCCTGACACTAAAGGAGAAATAGAAATAGTTGGAACTGTGTGATTTGTATTTGCTTTCCTCTTCCACTGAGCAACATTGACATCCTGCTTGTGGAAGAGCAAAGTCCTTCTGAAGTTAGATGGTAATCTTGTCCCTGTGGCTGTCCACTGAGGTCCTCTGCACAGTAGCATAACAGTGACAAGGCCAAATGACGTGTGGCACGGAACCAAGCAAGGCTGCTTTCTTATGGGTGTGGACATGCTCCAGCCCCTCAGTGTCCCTCTTGGAGTGAGGGGGTCCAAAAATGTGTCATTCACCTCATATTAAAGATAAGATAAAGATCTAAATAATTCCAGTTGAGTTGCAGCATGATTTTCAGTCTGTTGCACTCAACATCAGAATCTAGTGGTCCTGGTGACCTGTGGGTTTGGCTTCTTGTTGGGTGAGGAGATGCCTAAATCAGGTGAACTCCAGGCTTTGATCTTGACAGTTCTTTTTTTTTTTTTTGTTTGGTTTTTGAAGATGCTATAGAGGGATGTGACCTGGTGTCTCTTTTGGAAATCTGACAGAGTATTTGCACCCTTGTTTGCTCTGCGTGTGTATCCAAATCTTATTAGCTGTTTCTTTAACAGGCTTTTAATGTCTTAGCCAAAAAAAGTACTTCCTGTGTACTGCAGCATCAGTTGGGATGCTGAATTTGTCTGGTTCTGAGTCCTATGCATGGCTGTAAAGAGCTGCTTTGTTGAACAAACAAAGACAGCAAGTCTGCTCCTGAAATTTGTGGAAGGGGTGTGGGCACAGGGAAGCAATACTGGGCAGACGCCGTCTTCTTACAAAGAGCAGAAATGAAGCAGAAATGTGTAAAATGAAGCAAACGGTAAAAAAGAGTCAAGAATTGCATCTGGGCTGAAGCTGATTGTTTTGTTGTGGCTGATGAGAGGCTTTGTTTTGGTAAAACTGTTCAAGAGACCCGTCCTTCCCACGAGAGAGGGCATCACTGAGGGCGTGCGCTTGCCTTGTCTGGCTGTAGAGTAGCCACATGTCCTGCTGCCTTGCTCAGACTTCCAGCAACAAAAGCTGCTGCTTTTGTCCTCCACTTGCTCTCACTAATCTTTTTCAGAGGGATTAGCTTTTGTCTGAGTTCTGCAAATGGACGGAGTGGCAACTAGGGTGAACGTGGGGGTTCTTGTGCCTATTATGCCACTTCAGCTTTGCAGTGGCAGGATCCTGTTGCTGGGGAGCTGTGTCCCTCCTGCCTCGCCTGATGTGCCTCTTTGCTTCCTGAGTCCTGAACTGAGCTGATACTTGAATGCCACTTGCTGGCTTCTGCCTGCTTCTGTCACAGAAGGAAGTAGGAGGAAAGATGCACTTGCCACAGTGGGACCTGGTTTCTTTTTTTGTGGTTCTTTTTTTTTTCCTCCATTCTGAGTCCCCAGTGGGAGCTGCAAGACAGTTTTTGGTAGAGACCAGCTCTCTCACATCTCTTTGCCTCAGCTCCTGCCCTTATGCAAGGGTTTAATGTGTCTTATCCTCTTACTTGCATGGCCTACTAGCTCATGGCTAAAACAGCTTCTCTGCTGCAGTGTGTGTGGCCAGTGTTGCACAAAGGTATGCTGTGACTTCTAAGATGGTGACATGGTCTGATTCAGCTGTACTTAGGATCTAAATTTAGAAGCATCCATCTCTGAAGATAGTGACTCTAGTTTTCCTGTGCAGACAAGCAGCCACGTTGGCTGAGGTACCTTCTGGAGGTGCCAGTTTCTTTCTACTGTGTGAAAGAGGCCCTCAGAGCCCTGCTTCTGAACTCAGGCATCGAAACAGAGGCACCAGATGCCCAGCACTAGCAAAACAAGCTCCTGCCTTTGGTTTCCTTCTTTTTGAAGAACTCCCTTCAACCTCATAAACGACACAGTTACTCACTGTAAGTGATAGCCACTGTTATCTTCACCCCAACCCCCAACTCAACTAGGGCTGGAAGATCGGCGAATAAAAGTGAAGATGTATGACAGGCACACTACAAGGGAACACTCATTTCTTTCCAGGCTAACTTCAGGTTTGCATGATGGAGGCATGTTACTGGTGCAGAAATCTGTAATGAATGATCAAATTTTATAAAATTTATCAGTGAAAAAGGAGTATGAAAGACTGGCTCATGTTTGTGATAGGAAGGTCTGGGCAGACACCTCCCTAAGCTATCAAAGTGGAAGCTGAGGAACACCTTGCAGGAGTAGACATTACCTGCTCTTGCACACAGACAAAGACAAAGCTATAGACCACCTACCTCCTCCTTCCTCAAAGACTTTGATCAGCTTGTTTTTACTGCCAGCCTTGTTTTGGAAGGTGGCTGTGTGAGACACCATGCTGTGCCTGCCATGAGATGGAGAGCAGCACATAGGTGTATGGACTTCCTGGTGGTCTCTCCAGAACTGCTGAGAGAGTGGCTTTGAGTCATGCCTACAGCAGGCAGCTCAGTGACTAAAACTGGCTTCTGCTCTGCGAAGAGAGTGAAAAGGTCCCTGAGATGGTACCAGCCCAGTCTTCTCAAATGACATTGGCTCAGCACTGCTGGTGGGGAGCCACCATTAACTCCACCTCCCAGCGTGTCACTTCAGAGCTATCAACTATTGAGGTGCCTGGGTCTAGGCATGTGCCTTTGGCTGCTCATGGCACAGCTTTGGCTCACAGGGTGGTTCTTTTCTCGCTCCATCCCTTCTGGCTGTGGAGACAGACCAGCTTGCTCCCACCATGTGCAACCTGAGGTTGTCATGCAGGGACGGTGGAGCCCTTTCTGCCCCCATCATTAGAGTCAAGTGGATTTGGGCTGCAGAGGGTGCTGTTGGCAACAAAGAGTGAGGATAAAATCTGCAGAGAGCCTTGTTTGGCAGGAGTGATGAAGAAATAGCAACAGCATAGGGGCAGGAAGGAAGGGAGGTGGATAGACTGGCTTTCAGTACCTGTTGGAAGCTAGATGACTCATAGACTTGGCAGGAGTGCTTCTGAAATTCTGCTGCTCCTCTCTTACTCTAAGGGGCTGCTGTGCAGGTGACACTTTTGGTTGGGTCTATGCTGCTGGGGAAGAAGCTGCCAGTGCACCAGCTTCTGTTCACAGTGGAGTTGGAGACCTGCCTGCTCCAGGAGCATAGCCCTGCACCCTTGGGCTCTGTATCCTGAGAGAAACTCCAGACTCTACCTCCCCGCAGAGTCTTCAATCCAAAATCCCATCTTTGTCTCCAATATTAAAAGCTTTCCATGACTGTAACACGTCTGCCACACAGCTCAGACTACAGTGGTTGTTTCAGGGGAGTTTTTTCATCAGCTCAGGTGGTGGCACTGTGTCCTTTTGGGCTCAAAGTTCACTCACTGCCCACTCTTGTGATATCTTACTCACCTCTGTCTACTTTCCATGCCAAGCTGGGCTTATGAAGTTCTTTCTCCTTCACTGTTGCTTTCTAGCTAATTGTTTTCTAGAACCTGTCTTGCTTTTTGCCTTTGGCTCCTATCAAACTCATTATCCACTCT